TGTCACCTAGCACACCAGACGCAGCATTGACTTGTGACTGTCAAGAACTGTGCGCTTGACGTCCCAGTTGCAGAGGTTGTTGATGCTCATAAATAAGAGAGTGCCAGTCATCTCTGGGCATGGCATTCGCAGCTCCTCTATGCTCATGTCAAGGACATAGTCAAAATCGATCAAAAGCCCATGCCCAGTCCCATCGCCCTGCCTAACAACAAGGACGTTGTTGTCCGATATGTCGCGGTGCAGGATCTGACAGTGCTCGAAAATCGCGTTGTGGCAGCGCATCACATCGCACACGACAGTGACAAGCTCGTTAACCGAGCCTACACTGTGAAGCCGCTCACCGATCTGTGACAGGACAATGCGCCGGTGAACGCGAAAGCGAGGCGAGCTACCATCAGCAAACTTGACCCCCTGGTACACTGTGTCAGTGCTGTCCTCGATATCGGCATCGCCCTGACTCAACCACACTTGCCCACCCACCACAATCTCTGGGTAAATGACGTTGTCCTCGGCGCCTAAGCTTACAGAGAGAACATCTCGGATCTTTCTTAAGATCTTGACCTCGTCACGGGAGTCTTCGCCAATCAAGTGCTCCGCAAACGCCCAGGCATCCTTGATGACTACCTTTGGCTCCAGCTCGGAACCAGTTGTAGGCTCGATGTCAGTGGCAAGAAAGCAGCGAGTGTGGCGCCCAAACAAGTGGTCAGCGTGGCAAATGACAGTTTTATAGTAATAACTTGTGCCTATGCTCGAGCTGCGATCCTCGTCGTCCGGACAGTCGATCTGCCAGCAGTCAAGGTTGGTTAGATGCTCAATGGTCATGTCGCAGCCCAGCTGGGAGTTGTCGCACATCGACCAGCTAACCAGGAGCTCAATAAACACGCGTCGGCCCTTGGGAGTGGTGACGTCCATTGACCTAGACGACACAGCCTTGTCATTGCCAAAGTGACACACATACACCTTGTGGCCACAGATGACCAGGCCCCACGCATAACACAAATCGTGCTGCGTCTAGTACATTTGGCAAATATACCCATACAACTGCGGAAAGGCCCCATTGTAGTCAGTGCCATGGACTTTTGCCTCTATCACAGCGACCAGCTTGTGGTATGGCATAGGTGCACTTGCCACAGTAGTCGGTCCATCTGGTCTCACACAGCACAGGCCGATGTCGATGCGAGTATTGTCGTCCAAGTCGTGTGGCTTGTAGTCAGCTTCGCCAGCAGGGCAAATGAGACGGCAAACACCGGTTCGGCCGCCAGCCTTGTCCCACTCTGCTTGCACGCAAAGCGATATGTACAAAACGAACGACGTGATGGGGTTGTACATGCCCTTCTCCAAGCGAAGTGCCTTCCCTGACAACTAGTTTCGCATACTGCCAATATGTGCTATGCGTTCGGAGTCATGGCTGCCAGCTAGCCCTCTGCCCAAATGCAGACTGGCTAGGTCAGATATTCTGTTACGAGGCATGCCGGTATTGCAGCAGGAAGTACTCAAAGGCCGCCGGGTGCCCCTCTTTCCCTTCTTTTTCGCTGGTGCAGCTGACACACCTGAACACTCTGCGTCGGGGCAGAGATGCTTCTCCAAGAAAGCCACTGCATCTCTGACAATACCACGAGCTGCACGCTGTTGGTAATGGTCCAGGGGCTCCGTTAACTTCAAGATAGAGTCGTTATTGTGGACGTGGTGTGTGTTATACAGGTCAGCCATTTCGTTGCGCCGTTCCTCGCCAATGGACTTCATTGAGGTTGCCGCATTTCCAGTTGAACACGTATAGCCTCCCTTAATAGTCCTGGGAGTACCCTTGATTATACTAGCCTCTCTGGTGCGTCGGTTCTTTGGTGTAGTAGGGCCTATGCAGCACAGTAAACACAGGATTAGTAAGTTGAGTATCTTTTGCGAGGCCTTTTCTAAAATGGCATGAGGGCTAGGTTCCTTAGCCTCAAAATTACCGTCACTTAAGACGTTCGCCCTAATGGTGCCTGGAATCCGGGAAGCTCTTCGCTGGGTCAAGTCGTCTATCGGAGGGTCGCCTTGCTTTCGGACCTTTTGGGCGCCAGAGCCCCGCTGGCTAGACAATTTGCGCTTGGTCATTGGTAGTTGGTGCGCACGGCTGCAATGCAGAATGAAGAAGGAAAGTGGGGGTGAGAGTGTTTAGAAATGTAAAAAGAAGTGAGCAGGCGAATTTACAAGCACAAAAGCCGAGCGAAAAAGGAGAAAAATATAATCACAGACTGTTTACGATTAAAAGGCTTGGCTTGCTGATTTTCTTGCATAGATCCGTTGAGCATGATCTCGAGGCAGAAGATGGTTTGCGGCAAAGCGACTGCCTTGCCCTTCTCTCTTCTCTTATCTCAAATAGCATCCTTTTTACTAGCTCTGCCGCTTCTGTTGCAATTCAAAGACTGCCTACTCTTTTGCTTATTCAGGCTGCATCTCGTCATAAAGCAGATTGTCGGCTATGTAGTTGGTGGCGGCTGCACGACGTTTGATGAAGAGCTGGGCGATGTGGACGAAGGTGTTGAAATCGATTTACCCAAAGCTGAGGCTAATATTGACGCATTTGTGGAGCGGATCAAGCAGATATCGCCTGCTGTTAGGGATATTCAAGTACAGCTCAAGGACCAGTGCTCACCCGAAATCAACGATCACATTGCCAGCTACCTGGCCTCTCGGCTCTTCCAGCTGGTTGGTCGCATAGACTATGACTATGGCTATAGGGTCGGAGCTGCGACACATTTGTGGCAGCACTTGGATACTGTCTGCAGCCTGACACATATTGCGTATACTAATATGAGCCAAGACGGGTGCTTTTTACAGTCGGTGCGGCAGAATGCGCTAACACTACAGGTTCTGGGCATTTATTCTGAATACGACTATGTTGGCATATGTGGGCTTATCTGGAACACCAACGGCAGCCATGTAACATATCCACAGTTGCTTAGGCTCAGTCTTTGGTGCCGGTTAGACTTTGAGAATCATGAGTGCATGGTCACTTCCGACCTTGTGCCATTCCCCAGTCTTCAAGGTTTAGCTTTCATACCTGAATACCCATTTGGAAATGACGTGATTTTTACGGGCAACAAGAGGATGCTCGAGAGCTTGGATCTAGGCCTATCCAGTACAACGATGTCTATACTTTGCAGACTCAATGTGTTTACACCGGCCAGCCACCCAAAGCTTTGGCATGTGAACCTTGAGTGCTACGAAGGGAAAGTAACAGATTTGTTCGCCTTGCTCGCTGACTATGCGCAGTTTGTTCTTGGCATCAAGCCAAAAGCTCATATGAGGTCGATTGTAGTTCATTCCATCAGCCAAAGCCCGATGTCCGTACTATTGTCACCGGACACTCACACGTGCACCCAGGTTCTCGGAATATCCAGCAAACCGAGCCTTTGGGATATCTTTACACTGGTCAAGTCACTTCCGCTACTGCCGACTCTGTACACCGGAGCTCCTACCATTGAAAACTTCCCCTACGGTGTTAGTTTTCTAAAATACCAAAATAAAACCCAAGGAAAGAGGCCTTATTACTTGTTGTTGCTGTGCAAAGCTGCTCTTTGTATCCAACAATGTCCGCGTTCCAAAAGGATGTTCCGTTCACCACGCTGTTCTGATTCCTTGATCTATTAGCGTCGTTAGCACATTTGCTGCTAACATACGGCGTTACCAAGGAAGAGCTGTTGACGTGCATACTCTCAAACTATGTCCCAGTGTGTGAGCGACTTTGTGTCTGGTGCATTGGCAGTTCCAGTCACAAAAACACCTGAGCAGCTCTGGGTGTGCTCTTCTTAGCACTGTGTCATAATTTAAGCCATGTCACAGTGACTGGCTGCGATCAAGAGCTGTTCATAAGGGTAATAGAGGAAACCATCAACTGTGAGATGTTCAAGGCATACACACCTCAATTACAGCATTTGCTGCCTTGAGGCTGGGATAAAAAACAAGACTGAGCTCAAAATGAACTCTACAATATGGCTAGTTTTTTTCTACTAGCTATGGCATTGAAGTGTTTTCATAATCCCAACTCAGGCTGTGTAGCTGCTTTTCCCCATATGTTACCAGCATATCCCGCTAGTCGCACATCCTTTCTTTGTCTTGTCTCACTTTCTTCCCACCAATGTTTTAAGGAGGTTATGCCGAGCAATGCGCTCTTTTCTTCCCTGATTCCTCTTAATCTGCTGCCAAAATTTTCTCCACTGTCCCTGGAGTTTTTTGTAGCTCACTTCTTAGCTTCTTGTATCCGGGGTACAGTTGGTGCTAGCTTTCTAAAATCTCACAATTAAAATCTCACACACTCATTCTTCCCTCAGCTATTTTGCGTTAATTTTATCTTTCCTTGGGCAAAAAATCAAAAAAATCAACCCGTGTAATAAAAAATAAAGCTAGTAAATAGATTTATGTGTTGAGATTCATATTAGTGAAAGCTAAAGACTCCTATTCATGTTTAGCGACAGCATGGCACCTTTTATAGTTGCCTGCCATTGCCATGTGGATATCTGTACGTGATGAAACCAACACGTGGTATCCCTAACCTTCCGTTGGCAAGTGTGGTACATGTCCGCTATCATGATTGCGCGTCCCGCAGTAGGCTGGCAGTCATGTGACGCCACCTGTTTTTTTGGCGCCACAACCTGTGTCATCTAAATGACGCGGATTAGGAGTAGAGGCCTAGGAAAAAGGGACAGAGATTGTAGACATTATCTTTTATCAGACTATCAAGTAGAACTTTTCAGCCTATAATCCACGCCATCACAATATTATGATGGAAAGCTAATCACTAGGCAACAATAGTAGTGAGAAAATGTATTTAAAGATGCGTGGCATTTATCATTAAGTTTGATTAAAGTGCTGAAATGCATCAATAGTTAGTGATCTTCTGTATTTAAATTTTATACATGTAGAAACTTAAAAAAAGGACATTAATGAGTGGCAAAAATAAAAAGGATAAAAAAGCCAAAAAAAAAGATTTCAACGAGAAAAACACAGACAAAAAATTGTGGAGAAGCGGGGTTTCGATCCCCGGGCATTTCGCATTTTTTTACAGTCCTGCAAAGCGAACACTCTACCACTGAGCTACATCCCCTGTTCTGCATGTACTCCACAGGCATAGCCCAAATTGAGCTAAGCCTGAAACTTGCTTGTATTTGACGTGTGGTTTGAACTGCCTACTATCTGAGCAGTTTTCTTTACCCGCACGTCATCCGCAAACTCCTCATAATCGCGCTCGCGCGGAACTATCTCTTGAAGGCACTGCTCACTCTGGCAAAGCCATGTTTATCCGCTGGAAACTGTCGCTCATGCAACGGATCAATCAAGACTTTATTTACGCTTTTACGCAACTC